CTGAGCTGAAGGCAGACGCTCAACCATCTGAGCCACTCAGGCGCCCTAAGAGGAAAATTTTCATTCGCACCTGTGTTTAATAAGGCACCTCAGCACAGAACCACAAAAACTTGCATTACATTTTGAAAATCAGCTCCCTAAAGGTCAGTTTATTATGATTTACTTGCTGGCAAAGGGCTTCAAAAATAGACCGGAGGGAATCAAGGAAGTAAGTGTATGATGATTTGTTAAGTCATGAATTTTCATCTTGCATTTGTTAAGGCTATGAAGTATCTCCAACATCACTAGAGATGTATTTCAAGGTTATGTTCCTTGGTTTTGTTTGAAGTAACTGTTTAAAGCTACTTCGCTACACAACGGACTTCATGACGTTCTGAAATAAAGCACACAAATCCAGAGATTGTAATTATGTACGAAAACTATCACACTCTTCGTTTCAACGAACTTAACTGAAATTGTAAAGCACGGCGAGTAGAAATCCTAGCAAGAGCCTACTTTCTACACACCCCACCAGGGACTGTCTGCTGCCCTGGGCTGTCCACACCAGGGATGGCAGGTCTGCTCCTCGGGTTCAGTCTTCTGCTACATGTTTAACTTCCTTCAGGGAAAGCACGAGTAAGGCCTGCTTTACTTGTTCTCCAACAGTCTTGGGGATCTGCTGTCTATCCCCGTCTACAGTGGTCTGGCAAGGGGATGCTGACAGAGCACCTGCCAGGTGCGAACCACTGCAGACTCGCTCCTCGCACTGCCCAAGCCGGCAAGGTCATCCGTTCATGCTGCAGGTGAGGAGGCGGAGGGGAACTGAGCCTGATCGGCCCACAGGGCAGTTCTTCTGAATTTCAGCTTCAGGAAAGCCAGGGCAGTGACTGTCCCCACGGCTGAGATCAGCACCTGGCCCGCAGGAGGCACTCAGCAAACACCCCACGCCCCACAAGCGAACCTACGCTCTGCCTCCCTCACGCATCCAAAAGCACTATCAATAAGGGAACTTCGTTGGAGTCATTCACAATTCTCCACATTGTACAGACACTCCACTGCAAAGGGGGCTGTGCTCCCGGGCTCCGCACCATACAGGCGTAATCTAACCAATTTCGTTCTGCCCAGGTGTTACCACTGGGGGTTATTTTAATGATCTCCTCTGTACTGTACTGGGCTTTACATTTTTTTCTCTAACACATATGTATTACTTTTATAACCAATAAAAGTTACTTTAAAAGTAAAACTAAGATCAAGTAAAAACTCCTACTTAATAGAAAACCGATCTCTGAGCATCATTACCACTGCCTTAAATCTAGCTTAGTTTCATCCTTGGGGGATATTAACAACATGAACCCAGATGACAAACATGTACGATACTCATACAACTACCCCATGTCACCACAACTACCCCAGGTCACCACAGACTTCCAACGCCCAAGGTGCTTTTCAGCCACTCAAGACAGAGCCCAGGTAGGCGTGGAACATAACACTGAGGAAGATGATGCATTTAATTTTTAGCACTCCCAGCCCAGTAAATGCAAGGTTTTTTCTCTTTAACCACAATCCTGAAAGTGAGTATGAGCTTATAAATGGAAATTCCACTAAGGAAAAAAAAAAAGGGCATTCATTCATAAAAACAGAGAGAACTTTTTAAGCCAGAGCTCACAAAGGTTTAACTATTCAAGTTAATACAGTTAAGACCCTACAGAGTCTTGTAATTTGAAGCCTGTCAGAGAGAAGCAAAGAGGAGCAAAAGCAGAAAATTACCAGGCAATGTTCATTTTTAGTGAGTCTGTCAAAATATCCTCAATGGAAAGTCACCGAAAGATTCTTTTGGTGTAGTTTAGATAACCCAAAAAGATTCTCTGGCAGATGGGAAGAGGATTTTTTTTTTTAAGCTGATAAACAATTCTGAGAACATAAAGCAATTTCTAGGATAATGGTTTTAAACTTCTGCCCTGTTTCATGGTTTATCTCGAAGCTTAAAACAGAAACATGGAGATGCTGTGGTCAGGAGAAGGACAAAGCCCAGAGCCCCCTGAGCTCCTCAAATCCCCCTTATACTTCCAACAGTGATCCTCTCAGCACACCCCTGGGATACACCTCAGAGTAAGTGTTTCAGAGGAGGCCCCAGGAGTTCAGATGTGTAAAATTAAACACTTTTCCCCCAAACTGCATTAAGTTATTCTCATAGGTCAATCTATGAAAGCTAATTCATAGGTTCCCCTCTCCCTTGTTTTAAAGTTTGCCCTGATTGAGTTTTTTTTTCAGTTTGACTCCTGCTACCACTTGTCTTAGAATAAGGGCTCATGGGCACACTAACAACTCTCCAAAGAGCAATTAAGTGAAAAACTAAAACATAGGCTTCCATTAAAATGTATGTAATCTTCTTGAGGTGAAAATAGTCCTATTTCTGCTACTAAATGATTCCTAGTTCATACAGATTTAAATACATTTATTTCAACATGTTTACAAAAGCAAATCAAGTTTTCTGGCATTAAAAGTAGTTTGAGGGGTGCCTCAGTGGCTCAGTCGTTAAGCGTCTGCCTTCAGCTCAGGTCATGATCCCAGGGTCCTGGGACCGAGTCCTACGGCAGGCTCCCTGCAGGCGGGAAGCCTGCTTCTCCCTCTCCCACTCCCCCTGCTTGTGTTCCCTCCCTCGCTGTGTCTCTGTCAAATAAATTAAAAAAACAAAACAAAACAGTTGGAAAAAAAAAAGTAGTTTGAGGTTCACTGCTTTGGAGTAAAATCACCTCATGCCCCTTATGTTGGGACTCATATGCCAGATATCAAGAAAACATCTAAGTAGGTCGGGCTCCAGAGAGGTCAGTACTGACCAGCAAAGCAGGATTCTTTGGCCTAGAACACAGCTCTTATCTAAGGACATCTTAACTAAACCACCGCCCATCTCCCTCCACCCCTGCCCCCTCCCCAGGCCGTCTCCTGCTCTCCTTCCAGACAAACCTCCATTCTAGCCTCCTTAGACACCACGGCCGGAATCCCATCTTTGACTTCCTCCCAGATCTACACTGAAACACAACAAATTTTAGCAAGAAAATGTCTGCTACCTTAAACTATCTCACTTAAGGATAAAGTGACTCCACTGTTTTGCAGTAGCCCTAACTGTAGGGTTCCCAAGTTTGAACTGTAGTCCTGAACTCACTCTCTGTAGCAAGACCTAAGATAAATCTGAAGGTTAACGTGTTGGCCACAGACACTTGTGCTGTGAAGGTTCTTGGCTGCAAACCACAATGTACTTGATATTCCACAAATTCACATGGTCTTACTAGTTAAGTGCAATGGTAAATGTTTAATAACTGGCTCTCCTGAGGAGAAAAACCCAGATTTGAGGTGCCTGCCAATTTTCATGGTGTTAGTACTCCAACCATGGCAGATTTCAAGCTACCAATTTGACTTCAACCAGCTCCTAAAAACGTATTAAGTAGTGTGAGCCAGCACAACAGTGCACGGGTCTACAGTCAGGGCCAAGTGAATATAAATAGTATTTATTTTTAAATCTGAATATGTAAAATTGGCAAAAAAAAACCAAGCCCCGCAACACCTTCTTTTTAAACTGTAGACACAGAAATTGGCAAGTTTTTACCCATATCAATATACTGATACTAACACTGAAAAAAATAATAAATTGTTCTTCTTATAATGAGGTTGTCCACAAGTTATTGTTCAACCTAGGACTTCTGAGAGTGAAAACGGGTAATATTAGTAATTTTACCAGACAAGAAGAGTAAACCAGGACTGCGAGGGTCAAGCCAGGACACACAAGTTATTTTTTAGATGCACTAATAGTAGCTTCTTTCCAAAGGGCTCCTGAAGCAGGCTTATTACATAATGGTGGAAGAAAACAGTACTTTTTATTCATGTAAATACATTCACCAACCTCAGTATGTAACTTGTTGAGTACCACGGGGGACTATAGTGCTTGCAAAGCGGTCTACGACACAGTTCCTGACTTCACGGAGCTGAAAATCCACTGTAGTGGATAACACAAGTACCCACAGGTGTGAGAATGACCGTGCAAGGGGTGTAGCCATGCAGGTGACCAGGAAGCCTGAGGTGACCAGGAAGGCAAAGAAGAGGGGGCAGTTGAGCAGGGACTTCAGAAGCAAAGATGTGCAGAGGGCATCACAGTGGCCCAAATGAGAGCAGAAAGCTTGTTTGGGGGGCAAGGAGGTAAGAGGAGCTTGTAATTATCTGCAACACCACACTGAGCCACTGAATACCTGTTTGAAACACAAAATAATGCTTCAGGAAAAGTCGTTCTGATGCTACAGTGGAGGAGCCAAAGAGACTAGATGAAAGGCTTCTCCCAAAGTCTAAAATTGACATGAAAAGAGCATGGATTAAAGTGACGGCTGTGTAAATGAAAAAAGTTTGCATTCTTCTATTAACTGTCTTTGTATATATGAAGGAGAAAAATGTATCATTTTTCGGTATAATTCAATTAACATGTCTTTAAAGTGTCTAAGAAATTAGATCCATGAAGAAAATTCGGTAAGAAATTAAATACTGCATTCATTCATCACACTGAAATGGTAATCTCTTGACAAACCTGAAAACGCGCAGTTTACCTGTTACAATCTTGAATGCAGCCGCTGCAGTTTCCTTCTTTTAGGTAACACGCTGCTCTATTTGAATATAAGATACTTAGATCATCTGCACTTCCACTTCCTAAAATCACATTCAATTAAATACGGTTAAACTCCAGGAGCGCAATCACAGTTCCCCAACACGAAGAGACGACTGAGGTCTCCGGGGGCACTGCAGTCCTACGGACCGCCCCTCACGCGGAGCCCGGGGAGCGCCCGGTGCCCGCAGGGGCCTCAGAGGGCGAGGCCGTGAGGGACGCATGCAGACGCGCCCCGCCCGGGCACATGCTACGCATTCCGAGGTGCCGCGCGCCCAGGTCGGTCCCACCCCGCCCTCCGTCCGGTCTGCACGGACGCGAGCGCCTGTCATCCGGGCGGCGGCCCTACACGTCCCGAGAGCCGCAGCCCGAGGGTCCGGGGAGGCGCGGGCGCAGCTCTCGCCTACCTGCAGGCTCCAGCTGCGCGATCGCCGCCGAGTACTTGAGGGCCGCCTCGGCGAACTGGCCGCTTTTGAACAGCTCGTTGCCCTGGCTCTTCAAGCCCGCG